GAAATTTATTTGTTTTCTTTTGAATTTAACCACAGAACAATTTATTTATTTATATCAAATGGCAGGCGTCTTGATGGTTATCATTAGCCCTTTAGTTGACTTCAGGCTTCACAGAGGGGAAGAAACATTAAATTGAAAAAAGTCGAGAGGGGGAACAGTAGAGTGTTTCAAAGATGTAAGAGACAAGCACGAAGGTAGAACAAAGGTGAGGTGAATATTGTGGAAATAGTCGAATATGGCATAGAGTGAGGTGATGGTAGTCTGAAGTGTGAAGTCAACTGCCGGTTAATGGGCTTTTTTGAGGTTTGGGTATACGTTGCCCAAGGTGCACCACGTGGAGGTAAGTCTATCGCACACCCCACCACAGAACAATAATTTCATTAATTTTCTCTATGGTAATGTGTTCCTATCTTCTAGGTTCCTCTACTGCACGGGCTTTCAGGCTTACCTCCTTATGGAAACAGGAGGGAGCTCTACTCCTGCGCCACCCAGTTTTTTGCTTTACTCTGCTAAATTGTTCGCAAGTAGTTGACAGCTAACACGTCATGGCAATCGGTTGTCGCTCCGAGGGTAGTATATTGATTCTCCTCTTATTAATATGTCACTACATAGAATTTAGGCTAGATAATCTGCTAGTTTTCACTACCTCCGTTACTACTTTTGCGGGCAAATATAGAAATTCATAGCATTTAAATATCAGTGATCAGTGGGCGGATCTGTATTTACTAACCACCCAATGGACGAGATTATTTTCCAAAGGTGGTCAAGGAGTGATACGTAAAATGAGCATTTTTACCAAAGGTTGGAATGTTTTACCTCCGTTCCTTTTCACTGGTGGGCCACGAAAGTGGCGCTATGCAGGGATATGATCCATCCAAATCAGATATCAGTAGTTAAGACAGAGACAACCAGGGTACCTTCCCCCGTTAGTGTCAAGTTTCGATTGACTAATTATTCTCTGGGAGGAAAAGGCGAAAATACTGTGTTAGCCACCTTCCCAAACGGAACTAATGGAATGGTCACTTTAATCTGAATACATTTAACACGATGAGAGTCATTTCGTGGAGCATTGCTTTGAAACAGAGCTGGTTCGACGAACAGCTAACATGAAGGTTGACTTGGTGACAATTCACAACTGTACGACTCAATAAACAAGCTTAGTAATATGGCATAAGATAAGCTTGTTGGGAAGGAATTAAGACTGTCAAAAAATTAATGCGCAACCGACCCAAGGGCCTCTCAACTTAACTCGAGGGTAGATTTCAAATTTCTAATTATTTTGGCTTATTTAACAATATGAATTTAAGTAACTTTACTTTGATGTTAAAGAAGGAAGTTTCCCAAAAATGTCAATTAAAACAAGTAGTAAGGTACACTTAGAGTTATATTAAATGTGTTTATCTAATTCAACAGATTCTACGAGGTAAGCAAAAGTAGTAAAGTTAGTTGTACAAGTCGACGAAAGTTCCATCCTTGTTGACAGTTTTCAAGATACCTGAATTTCGCAAGCGTTCCCACTCCGCATCCGGATCATAATTCCTACATAGGAGTGTCGATGATGGTACTTTTGACTTACTCATAGAATTTTCGAGTTGCGACGATTTTTCTCTGATACAGGCCATAAGTAGCAATGGCTGAAACGACGGCCGAAATGGATAAAGATAAAAACAACCCCTTGAGAGCATTTCTGCGGTAAAGATACCGCAATCTCGGCATATTAGGAGGGCTTGCGTAGATATCTTTATTGGGCATATTCCTTTTAAGAATGTGTTGTGTGGGCTGTGTTCGCTTTGGCTAAGCTTTCACTCATTCATAATAAGTTCTGTATTTAAACTTTCTTAATGTAGCTAACCAAAAATATTAATTAATTAAAATTAAAATAATTTATTGACAATAATTTCGCATAATATTAATGGTTAGATGTTTAAGCTTACTAAGTGCATAAATATTGAAGAAAGTCTATTTTTTTGCAAAATAAAAGTTCTCTTGCAAACTTTCTTTGAAGTCTTAATATTAAATTATAACAGAGGTATAAAATTCTAAATAAATGTTCATTGAAAAGACTTATTTGGTGTGTGAAGATCTTCCCCTAGGAACTACGGCAGGAAGCATGGATGTCAATATGTTGAGTACCTTTTGTTCTCTTAAAATGATGACAGCCACAAACACTACCACGTATCACCATAAAGCTAGATGGAGAAAAGGTTGACTTTCGTTTGGAATGCATTAGTTTGAACAGACAAAGATCTCAGTAAGGTCTGAACGAAAGTAGCAAAGTGTTTAAAATTTGGATCGTGAGCACAAAGAATTTATGATGCATGAATGGATGTGTTATTAAAAGTGCCTCTTCTGTCGCATTTAATTTTTAGTTGGTATCGGCTGTTTGGGTGTCGTCCTACAACAACGTGCAAACTTAACAATTTAGTGGGCCTAAGAGTGATTTAGGTTGAATAGATTATTTGCCTAGAGTGTGAGAAGCATACTCAAAGAAAAGTTCATCAGTAGGATCTCGAAAACTCAGTAAATAGGTGTCTAAAAAAGCAATCTCGGAAGTGGTCTTTGCGTGTTCACATGTGCACTCACAAAACAGGTAAGCATCGTGCAGAGATAACGCTATTTAGGCATGAATGGCGTTTAAGGAACAATTCCATGCAAACCCAACATGTCCTTTGATAAATTAAGAAATTTACAAGATGTATGATAGATTTGACATGAACCTCATTTGTGACCTCAGTCCACAGTAGATCAAAATAAATTAGAAATGAGGTGGAGCAATTGGTACATCTAAAAAGGTTTGGTAGATATTACGATTCAGTAAGGCCAGTCCCTGTAACTAATATTTAAATGTTTAATCGATATTCATTTTCTACGTCTGCATCATAGTCGTAGAAGGAGAGTCCAATCTCCCAAAGAATATTAATGGTAATAAGTGTCAACCATCCTCTGTGTAGATAATTGTTTTACACATCTTTACTAGCAACACTGCAAAACTCAGCACCTTAAACCCGTATTTGCCGGCACAATGTCTGTAATACAGAATATGTGAAAAACTAAGAAAATGAACCCAAATGATGGCCTCCATTATGATTAGGAGGAAAAAAAATCGATATATATTTAAGACGGAAACTTGAGAAATAACGCGATAGTAGCAGTTAATTTTATAGAGGTGGTGATTAATTCACACCGAAATGACGACGATCCCACGCTGAAGACTCGAATTCGCCTTGACATTTCAATTGGAAGCCTTCATTGATATTTTTTGATGTCAACATCATTGTCGTCCAATAGAGAAAAATGCATCAAAGCATATAAAGGGGAGTTTTTTGTGCTCTTTAGATCTTCTTGCTGCGCAAAAGATAATTTTATCTACATTTCGTAGCTTTAAGCAGTTCTGAATTTCAATTCGATTCATGGCGAAGTTAATACTTCCTTTCCATTCATAACTTTAGCTAGAATCTTAGTAAAAAGCTTATTATTTTACACATGTATATAGCTTAGATTATTTCTTTTCTTGTGCAGACTTACCTACCTTTGGCGATTTAGCCGAAAGAGTTAAATTGCCAAAAGACTGTAAGGCCATTGCCTGGACGAAATTAATCGGTTATGATTTTGAAGTGATTAAGCAAATGTAGTACCAAGAATCTATGTAATGGCTCACAATGTTCGAGTCATCATAAGCGGTGTGGTGTTAATAAGTCACCTGTTCTTATTTCAAATCTGGCAAAATCAATAAAGTAATCAAATACAACAATATATTAGATAACTGCAGGAATAGCTATAGGTACTCCGAAGTTCCAAAAGGCTTAAAATTTTGATCGAAATGAAGCCAGAAAATCTACAATAAAATGCACCAATTAAAATAAATTAAACTAATGTTCCCAGGTAGAATGGCAATTTTAGATTGGAATTAGCAAGCAATGAAATTTTTCGAGTTTATTTATAAATATTAATTTAGCAATTATTTAATATTTGATAAAAATGAAAAATAAATAAAATAAAGGATATCTTAACTAAATTAAAGGAAAAAACAATAAATTCTATAAATTTATTTGTTTCGTCATTTACATGTCCTTATTCCTTTAAATTCTAAATCACCTTATTTTAATCTCGGCACTTTTTTAATTGGTTATTTGCAAATTGTCGACAAGGCCATTGTGTTTTTCGTAGCCGGTATTGTTTGTCGTATCTTATACTGCAACTATGGAGTCAAACTCAGTTTCTTCTAATTGTGAAATAAGTAGGATTTAATAATTTAATAAGTTCCGTTTAGATTTCATATGTCCTGCTGTTGCTCGACTTCCACCAAGGGGTATGCACAATATGCGAGCTTTTGCTTAACTGATCTAATTTGTGTTTCGTTTCTCTTAGAAATATTCATTTCTAGCTTTATACTTATTTTAAACGTCAATTTATTGCTTTATTAACTATTTTAGTTATCGACCTGATTTACTGGAAGAGACCAATCGAAACTGCCATTATCATGTCAACGACATTTACCCTCCTGTTCAGCCTGGGATACCTTTCCCTCATATCTGTCATCGCTTATATCAACTTAGCAATTCTTTGTTGTACTGGAGCTGCCCGTGTATATTATGATCTAATTGCTTCTAGGAGGGACGAGAATGCCTGTCCTCCATTCAGGTAGCCTAACGGTCAATTTTTTTACTTCGGTAACTTCCTTGTGAATGTATTTCATCTGATCTGTTTTTTCTTTAAGTGACTGGTTCATCAAAGACAAAGAGTCCCTTAGAAAGCGTGTTTTAGACTTCGTTGATAGCAAGTTCGATTGCGCTGAATCATGTTTCCAACAAATCAAGCACTACCTTCTTATTGAGAACTACGTTGATTCGCTCAAAGTACAATCGTTTTTTTATTTTGGTTGTCAACTTTTGGCATTCCTAACTTTTCTTTTTTCATTTTAGTTTGCTCTTTGCATGTACCTTCTCTCAATCATAGGCGGTTTCTTTAATCTTATCACACTTCTAATATTAGGTACGCTTATTTAACCTAATATGTATGTTTTTTGGCCATAATGTCCTCTATTATTTTTTCCAGTGTTCACAGTTATGTTTACTGTGCCGAGGATCTATGATTTATACCACGTAAGTCGATGCATTTTTGAGCCATTTATTAAATGAATACAACTCGATCTCAATATGATCGGTGTTTATGTCAGGTGCAAATCGACAAGCTGGCTGAAAAGCCCAAGCAACACTTGAGCGATCTCTTGGCTAAGGTGAAAACTCAATTAGAGAGGATTCCATACTTCAAGAAGCAGAAGACAATTTAAATGTAGTGAAACGTGGGTGTCTCTGTATGCGTTAGGCTTTTTGGACGTGATGAGATTTAGCTCCCTCCTCTCAATTTATTCAATGTGTGTATCTATCCCTCATTCCAACTTCCCTCCTTATTACTTCAACTGTTCACTCCGTTTTGACTACTGGTCTCTTCCTCTCGCTATTTAAGCTATGTGACCTTCATTGAATTCCTGCACATATACGTGCACATTCGTTCTTGTCTCTCCATTATCGTCCGTTTTGTGTTAATAAAGTATCGAAGTTGAATGTTGTTGTCATTCTGATTTTACGTGCTCAAAATTGCCTCATCGGGTGCCATGTTCTGGTGGTGCTGTGGTTTCTAATAACGCTCAGGGCGGGGGGATTTGACCAGCTCACCAAATGTCATGAAAATGTTATTATGCATTGCGGTTGCTTTAGACTTCAAGTTTCTCTAACCCGTCTTGGATTGGTATTTGGTAATGAATAGCTATTCCGCATTACTTTGGAATTCGAGAAATAATAATTAAATATATCACAAAATGAACTTGCCATTGATATTTGCAGATCAAAGAGACTGAGATCTCTCTCGGTGCGAATAACCGAGTTTGCTTCTGGAATAGCCGTCACTGTCTCAGTAATAATAATTATTCGATCATTTCACTTCTAAAATCGCTACTATCCATGTCAAAATAGAGTTTACAAATTTTATTTCTGGGGGTCCACCTAGGAGGTGCGTTTATCAAGTGTTCAACAACTTCGAGGAAGTGTGGAGCCACGAGATCAGGTAAATACTACCCTACCCGCTTGACCAAATAAGATCTTGCTATTTTCTCTTGTTTAATTGTGAGGAGACGAAATTCCATCGATCTAAGAACTTGTATGACTGTATAGTGATCAATCCACTATTCAGTTCCGAGGAGTATATAAATGATAATTGACATCTTCAAAACTTGCTTTGAAACAACAACATAGGAGAATTTGATTGCCGTTTAGGTCATACTAGTGTGCTCGAGTGATTCCTTTTCTACAATCAGGGGGGAGGGCTTGTAGAAAAGTTCTTAATACAAGATATGTAAATCGTTTAAACAACCACTTTTACGAAATCCGAGGGTGCTATGAGAGTATTTTAATTTTAAACCCCATTTGCGTGTATTAGGATTTACAAACTAAGAAAGCATGCACTTCCCCCAGTAAGAACGAAATACCTAGTCAACAATATAACCTGAACTTACACCTCAGTTGAATATCCTACACATGCCAATCCTTCCCTACTTTAAATACATGTAAGGTAAAACGATAAACCCATAATTTCAAATATGATCAAAAGCTTCATTGGCTTCTTTTAAGTAAAGTAACCGAATGGACATTTGAAAAAGAAGAGCAATTTTTGACTGAGCCAATACTAAATTACTAATTGAATGTTTCCTCCAAATAAAGGCGTGTTGGCTGAGTTGTCTCGGTCTCGCTTTGAATGTACGTTTAATGACATACTTCTATGCAAAAGTTCAAACCGTCGTGAAGTGAAAGAAAATAGGTAAATTGTTAAACACCTCAACTGTTACAATGCGTCTACTATTAACCTCGGTGACATATAAAATGAGACAACGCCCGTTTAATGGAAATCCCACGTTTGGCTTAGATTAAGGTGCCAAGTTAAGAGAGCAATGGGAGGAGCTGAAGTGGTTGATTGAGCGCCCAGAATAATAATAGAATGCGAATTCCTCGAAAAGACTCAATTTCACCTCCGCTTAGTGATAAGAGTTCTAGCTCAATATGACAGTGATCATTTTGTTTGCGTAAATCCTACATTAGGGCATTACTGACTATTGCAAAATGAATCGTACTGCATGCGATTAATAACACCAAAAGATAATAGAATTCTTACTTCTCAACTCATATAGAAAGGTGTCTAATTCAACGTAAATTCAACCTCTATGTATGCGTAATTACGGAGTGATAATGTGAAAACGCTGGCGTTCTCCACCCGGAAATACAGGTCAAATGAACCTATGAACCAAGATGAGGATGGAGGGAGACTTTTGAGGAATTGTGCTTGAAAAATGCTACAGATATGACATTTCAATGAAATTGTGCTCAATTTCATATTTATAGAGGGCTAAGCCAAGTTTCACAGCCACAGTAGTAAGTTGCCAACTTCTCAAAGAGAAAGATTGCACGCAGCTGTGACTATTCGTGCTATGGATCCAGTTTTACCTAAAATACTCAGGACAGAAGCCTGTCCACGAGGGCCTTTGATGTGGGTGACATTCAGATACGAGACACTTTAATCGCTAGTGTATTTTTTCTAAACTTGAAGCATTTGCAAATTGTCGAGGGTAACTGGTCCCATCTATAGTATCAACATTAATTACTATTCTGAGAATATTGGCAGTTAATTTAAACAATTGCAATTCACTGATTTTTCTGGAATTTCTATGCGAAGATGAAATATGTATTAACCCTTTAACGTCGTCAGGACCGTACGGTACTCTTTCAAAATAGGCTCCATTGGTACCAGAAGGCGCCATCGCCATTTAAAGTATGTTCAATACGTCTCCATAGCCTTCGTCGGCGCCATCAGTCCGCTATGAGACACGTGAGTGCGGTTTGGGTGCGGGGGTTAAAGGGTTACTTTCGGAAATTGATATTATTGGCTGGGGGTGTGTGATAGACTTACCTCCACGTGGTGCACCCTGGGCAACGTATACTCATACGGCAAAAAAGTCTATTAACCGGCGGTTGACTTCTCACTTCAAACTACCATGGCCCGACTATTTGTCATATTCGACTCCTTCCGCAGTACTCATCTTACCTTTTTCTCTACCTTTGTGTCTGTCTGCCTCTTTTACATCTGTAAATCGCTCTTCTGATCCCCACACCTCGAATTTCTGCTACTTTGATGAACCTTCCTTCTGTGAAGCCCGAAGTCAGCTAAATGGCAAATGATAGCTATCATAACGCCTGCCATTTGAAATAAATAAATATTATTTGCTGTGATAGCCATGACATCTGCATTGATTTACGTTAATTTAGGCTCTGGGGGAAGAAAACCAATGGAATCGTCAACGATTTCTCAGAATCGATATACCACAATTCAGATCAAGTACACCCATTTAAACGAAGAAAACAGAATATGGCAACTGAGGAGAGAATAGGAAAGGGAGAGGTATAGAATAGAGCTCGGAGCAGAAACAGACTTTAATTTAAATTAACGACCCACCAAGTTATTTTTTACTCACATCTTATAGTTCACTTTTCAGAACTAAACCACTGTGGCATTCACTCCT